AGTAGTAGTAGTAGTAGTAGTAGTAGTAGTAGTAGTAGTAGTAGTAGTAGTAGTAGTAGTAGTAGTAGTAGTAGTGTAGTAGTAGTAGTAGTAGTAGTAGTAGTAGTGTAGTAGTAGTTGTTGTTGTAGTAGTAGTTGTTGTTAGTAGTAGTAGTAGTAGTAGTAGTAGTAGTAGTAGTAGTTGTTGTAGTAGTAGTAGTAGTAGTAGTAGTAGTAGTAGTAGTAGTTAGTAGTAGCATTAGTAGTAGTAGTAGTAGTAGTAGTAGTAGTAGTAGTAGTAGTGTAGTTAGTAGTAGTAGTAGTAGTAGTAGTAGTAGTGTAGTAGTAGTAGTAGTAGTAGTAGTAGTAGTAGTAGTAGTAGTTGTTGTGTATAGTAGTAGTAGTAGTAGTGGTAGTAGTAGTAGTAGTAGTAGTAGTAGTAGTAGTAGTAGTAGTAGTAGTAGTAGTAGTAGTAGTAGTAGTAGTAGTAGTAGTAGTAGTAGTAGTAGTAGTAGTAGTAGTGTAGTAGTAGTAGTAGTAGTAGTAGTAGTAGTAGTAGTAGTGTAGTAGTAGTAGTTGTTGTAGTAGTAGTAGTAGTAGTAGTAGTAGTAGTAGTAGTAGTAGTAGTAGTAGTAGTAGTAGTAGTAGTAGTCAGTAGTAGTAGTAGTAGTAGTAGTAGTAGTAGTAGTAGTAGTAGTAGTAGTAGTAGTAGTAGTAGTAGTAGTAGTAGTAGTAGTAGTAGTAGTAGTAGTAGTAGTAGTAGTAGTAGTAGTAGTAGTAGTAGTAGTAGAGTAGTAGTAGTAGTAGTAGTAGTAGTAGTAGTAGTAGTAGTAGTAGTAGTAGTAGTAGGTAGTAGTAGTAGTAGTAGTAGTAGTAGTAGTAGTAGTAGTAGTAGTAGTAGTAGTAGTAGTAGTAGTAGTAGTAGTAGTAGTAGTAGTAGTAGTAGTAGTAGTGTAGTAGTAGTAGTAGTAGTAGTAGTAGTAGTAGTAGTAGTAGTAGTAGTAGTAGTAGTAGTAGTAGTAGTAGTAGTAGTAGTAGTAGTAGTAGTAGTAGTAGTAGTAGTAGTAGTAGTAGTAGTAGTAGTAGTAGTAGTAGTAGTAGTAGTAGTAGTAGTAGTAGTAGTAGTAGTAGTAGTAGTAGTAGTAGTAGTGGTAGTAGTAGTAGTAGTAGTAGTAGTAGTAGTAGTAGTAGTAGTAGTAGTAGTAGTAGTAGTACACCAACACCTTTATGTAACAGAGGTTGTTTCTTTTGACCTATTAATTATTATTTAATTAATTCATCATTGTGTTTATCTGTCGCCTTTCAAGACGCCCAGAGACACTTTCACTCAGACTCAGTGAAGGTCAGATACTGTTGTAGCCACAGCTGCCCTGGGACAGACTGACGAAGCGCGGCTGCTCATCTGCACC